CAGTCAAAAATTGACCATGGCATTTCGTGAAGCTGATATAATCCTGGTTCTAAAAATCAGATAATGCCAAGAAAAAGACAGGTCCATTTAACATCACACAAAAAGTATACACTAAATATTACCTAAGTAAATCCAATAATGTATTTTAAAAATAATACACTGGGATTAAGTAGGGTTTATCCTAGGAATTCAAGGATGGTTCAATGTCAGAAACAGATTTAGAGGAGAGAAACCAGATGAATAATCTCAATCAATAAAGAATCAGCATCATAAAATTCAGCAAAAAGCAAAACTACGTGGAGTTAAATAAAAAATCACATGAGAGAATATCTATGTGACCTAGGAATAGGGAAAAACCTAAAAACCCATAAAATATATGATAAATTTTATCACATTAAAATTAAAGATTTTTGCTCAATGAAAGACACCATAGACAAAGTTATTGGACAAATGACTAAACGACAGATTGGGAGAAGAGATTTGTAATGCCTAAAATGGAAAAGGGATTATTATAGAGAATAGATAAGAACTTTCCACAAATCAACAACAGTAGAGTAAACCTGATAGAACAACAGAAAAATGACATCAAAAGGCAATTACCAGAACTTAATCTAGATACAAACATAACAAAGCTAAATTCTAACCGCTGGCAGAAATGAGAAGATGTGAGAAGCCCTGAGCATCGCTAGCGGCAGTGCAGACTGGCACAGCATTCTGGCTTGGGTCATAGCCTCGCTTAATGATGAACTGCTCCTCTGCCTTGCTAATCCTCTGTGCATATTTCTCTCGGGAACATCACAGGGAAAAGTGGCTGGTCTAGCACAGGATTTGGGTCTTTGACATTGTAGGTCTCAACGATCCATCTCTAGCTGAATCACTCCTGATATGATTGCATTATCTACTCAGCCTATAAAACAGGAAAGCAAAAATTCCCACTGTATCCATCTGACATAGGTCTAACATAGTGTCTAGACTTAGATTTTTTATGGGATTTTAAAACTTTGGCACAAAATATTGTCCAAAAATTGTGATTGATGGGAAACTGCTATATATTTTTAATATAATATCTAAAGCAAACGTGACTGTATTTTAATTTACTAATCATCATTATACACAGCAGAGAAGTACCACAGGAGAATAATCACATGGATGTGCTTCTTCAGCCAAAAGGAAACACACACTTACTTTTTATCCAAGGAAAGAGAACTTAAACCTAGGCACTGAACAGGCCTGTCTTGGAAGGAGATGAATTTTAAGTGAGAAAAAGGGTTTCTTCCTGACTCTGAAGTCACGAGATCAAGAAGGGATCAAGGATTTCATGTGGATTCTCCCTCCAGGAAGGAGCTGCAGGTGGCGAGGAGCTGGAGGCGTGAAAGGGCCACCAACTCTACACTTAGCCCCATGCCCAATCATCCGGGTGGTCCTGGTAGAGGCTTGTCTCCAGACCAGAAGACTGAACAAGGTCTCTGAACAGACTGAACAGACCCTCCCAGGACAGGGAATAGGAAATGTACATTGGCACCTAATTAGGTCACCAAGATTCAGAAGTCACCAAGATTCAGAGGCCAAAACTGTTCTTAAAAATTCCGATGATGAGAGACAGAGTTACTGTATCACTTGGCCATGACAATCTTTATGCTTTGGAGTTTGCTATACAGGCAACTGTTATCCACATATTTAATACCTAAGAAAATCTACTGGGGTTGTCCCCAGTCTCTACACAGATGGCAGATTTCCATGCTGACAAAAACACTATTGCTTGGAAAGTGGTCAAATCCGAGTCTCAGGGGACTTTGGGCCTGGAGCTACAAAAGGGGCCCAGGTCTTCAGTCCACTCTCTCAGGAACTAAGGGTGGCACAGATCCTGCCGTCTTCCTAGAAGAAATTACTGCGTAGGTCTGAGGTGCCCAGGGAAGGTTCCCTCTCAGCACGATGACAGGCACTTATTGCAGACATCGGGAGCTCTCTGCTCACCTACCAGAGAAACTGGCAGTATCTTAAAGATGTGTTTCCTGGGCAAACAGGCACATATAATGCATATACATGCAATATGTAACATTTGCTTTGAGTAAAGAAACATAATATTAAAACAAAAGTAAACAAAGAACATTCTTTTGAACACAAGTGTGAACTAGGATAAATAATCCATTTGCAGTTACACCACCAAAGCAAAGAACCTTTCTAGAAGTCTAAGGAAAAATTTATAATGTCCTTAAGGTTATGGTTTGTTTCAATAACAAATTTCAAAACCTTTAGTGGTGCAAAAAGTACTAACATCTTAACTGTAACCAGATTTTATATTATTCAGACAAGAGAAGCTGGTTAAAATATCCTAAAAAACACTGTGATTTTTAAAAGAGCAAATTGCAATTTTCCTAAATATCAAGAGGGCAAGAAATGAGAAACAGCCATGTGGTTTCACCAACTCTCTATTTAGAGGCAAGCAGGAAAGAGAAATTCGTACCAGATACTGAGGGAAGGATTAAGGCTGTTCCCTCAGTCAGGGCCAGTGCGGAAGCAATATAAATAACAGTAGGATAGGAAGACCGTAAAAAGAATAAAGAAAAAACACGCACACGGTGGACCTGTACGGCACTCAGTGACATTCACGTGTAAGAGGGAAGGAGGGAAATGACAGTAGAGTACAAATCAAGAGCAAGTCTGGCAGCAGAACCGCCAAGAAAAAGGAGGGGGAATCGATTATTAGTATCCACCCCGGGCATCGATTTTGCCATCACTTCCATCCACCAATACTTCCTTGCCCTGGTATTAATACCAACCACTAATGAAAAATCAAAGCATCTTATCCTTTCACCTCAGAGCCCAGGGGAACAGGGCTGCTGGTGTCTCTAAGTCCAATCGCCAGACCTACTGCGCCAAATGCTCAGTAAGTTTTAAAGTGCCCCTCCGCCTGGCTTCCTCCTGCAAGTGTCTCTCTCTCTTAGTGTCTTAATGATGAAGGACTTGGCTATTTAGGGTCCTGGTCATTTCCCTTTCTTCTCAAAGAGAACACATGACTCACAGTACTGATGCCACTATGTCAATTCACATGCGATCACAGAAGAAGGTTGCAGTATCCAACTGCTTTGAAAGGAAGAACAAATAAACATCAGAAGAATGACATTTCAAGGAATAAACATCCAAATGGAATTGGCTGGGCCCTGAACAGTGAAACCACTAGTTACCTAAGCAGGCCTCGAAACAAAAAGAAGCTGGGTGCCCTGAGGCCACCACACCTGGCGGGGCAGCAAGGCAGCAGTGGCCGTTTCATTCAAAAAGAATTTCAGAGTTGGAAAGTCCTTTGCTGAGCAGTACTTAGCACCAGAAAGCCATGCAGCCTGTGTTTCGGGAAAACATTTGCTGCCCTAGGTCACTGCACCTCGTCAACGGTGGAGAGACAGGGTGATCTTTACGCAGCCGCTTTCTGAAACCACCTCTAGCCTCGTTCAGGATGTCGATGAGGTGTGCTCACCAGTCCCCATCACGGGGTGTCTGCTCTGTATCCTCCTTTAGTAATCTTCTGGCACTTCTTCTAGACTTTCATGAGGACTGTGCCAGAACGTTCTTCCTGATAAAATACGCATAATCTAGTCAGCCTAGCCAGGTCACTCGTTCCCATTTCGTAATATACATAAAACTCAAAACTCAATTTGGCTAGAAAATAGACTCTCGGCACTTAAAATCTCTTAGAGATCTATATGCTGAAATATTCCAATTTTCACTGCTCCTTTCCCTTAAGTTTCTGAGTGTGGTCAGGGAGAGAGGCCTTGGTCACGTTCCTCACCCACATCTTGCAACTGCTTCTCTCTGCATTCAGAGGACCCAGGCCTTAGATTTCGATGAGAGAAAATAAGACTGGCTTCTTTAAAGGCTTAAAATCAATACGCTTTGAAAATGTGGACGAAAAGGGGCCACATATTAAAGCTGACAAGTTCAAGGGAGGCTCACATGGCAGGCCTTTCAAACTCAGGGACCAAAGGAACCATAAAGGGTACCCTGGTCTGAATGTAAAACCTCCTAACTAAACGCAGGTTACGTCCCAGGCCTGTGGCTTCTCTGACAAAGGTCGATCTTTAACTCTGAAACTGTCTACTGTCTTTGGGCACCTAAGATCACACACATTTGAAATGTCAGAGTGATCTCCTTGTCCAGACTCCTCAAAGGCACAACCGCACACCAGGGCACAGACCACAGAGCCCCTCGTTATCATCTGACCCCACGTACCATCTCTGTGTGCTGTACACGTTCGCTGGCCTATACCCGCCAATGCAAAAGAAGTGCGTGTCTCTCTGTTTTCCTTTTTATCCAATCCCGGAGACTCCCCACTTTGCTTTCTCCCGCCCCCTGAATCCACCTCCAACGGATTTCACATGGCCCTCCCCAGGTCTCCCCCTCTGATTCCAGTGCATGCAACGAGGTGCAAAGCTGCCATTTTCTGGACCATTGTCTTAATCCACTGAGATTCTGCTTCTCCGCAACTATCATCAATTTGGCTCAAATAAACTCTTACGAAACTTTTTCTTAGGCTGGACGTTCTTTTGTCGACATCAAGATAATCTGCTTGTCTTTTTTAGGTGATCCATTTAAGGCAATCCATTCCCACCACCCATGACATAAATACCTTTAAAATGTACTCAGTTAAAGAAAAATCCAGGGCAATATGAAGTGTTTTTTTGTAAGGATTTTAAAAATCAGTTTAGTTCTGTTCAGCTCAACCACAGGGTGGGGCCTGGGCTCATCACAGGGATTCTGGGCCAGCTAGCAACACGACTCCAAACCTCGGAGGGAACGGCCACGTGGACCGCCAGGGGCAGTGCTGCCCGCCTCAGAACCAGCAGCTGGAAGTCTAGCAAGGGTCCCCCCTTTCCTAAAAGCTACCACAGGTTAGAAACTGGGAAGCCACCAAATGTGCTGTGTAGTGAATTCTGGAGCACAGAGAGAACTCCAGTACTTACAGCCACCCAGTGACTAGAGCAGACTGGCAGCAGCCCAGCGCTCACCTTTTTCATGAACCCAGCCTGAGAGTTTCTTAACACCATCCACCAGAACACTTTGTGTGTTGCCGTGTCCATCTTCTGAGTCACTGTCATCAAACTGAGCCTCTATAATGACATCGGGACTGTCATTATCGCCTTTCAGGGACTGTTGCAGGAGATGGCTTCCACACAGCTCCTCGGGGAGATCTGATTCATAGGCACCGTCTGTTTCTTTGTCACAGCTCTCTGGTTTAATTACCTGAAGAAAATAGAAAAGTTCTGCTAAATCAT